CAGCCCCGATGGTGCCGTCCTATTGGTTTTAACCAATTGTTTTGTTTTTTATCTCTAATGCACACATAAAGAATGTTTATAAATAAAAAAGTCGGTACTGCAAACATGTAAATGCTATTTCTTATTTATTTCTCTCTTAGATTATTATCTTTAAAGTCATAAACAAGAATTTAAATTGAAGAATTAATCTGAAAACACAACAAAACGTCAAGTCGAAGTCAAGTTTATTATTTTGAAATAAAATTGCTTGTCTGCGTAGTATTTTATATGTAGTTCGAGACTGGATGAATTGATACTCGTATTAAACTTTTACTTTTACAATACTAAAGAAAAAGAAATCAAATGAAAAGTAAAAAAAATAAGGAGAAATCTATGTACCTACAGATACGGATTTTTTTTCAAAAATGTTTAAAAAATCAAGCGTATCTCATACTTTGCAATAAATTATATAATTTTCATAACTATATTACAAAAAACAGTACATACATGTATCTTAAGCTTATTAAATATTTAACTTCATAACATCCAACTTCAACTTCTGAGATATACTACGCTTTATTATATTGGATTATAAATACGAGTTTCAAATATCCCAGTCAAATTTATTCCGATTCATCTTAAAAAATATCAGCTTTCAAAAAAAGCCGTCATCTTTTCATACCAATATTACATTCATTTAAATCAAAAGTCTATTGTAAGTTACAGCTTTGTTATATTTTTTACAATATTAATTATTTTGTGTTACACAAGTAGCTGTTATACAAGAACAACCGCTTGCAATTGTGTTTTCATTCCGAAGAACGTATACAAAAAACGGTGCTACGCTCGACTAAAGGTTGGAAGGTTATTTGTTAAATAAATAATGGATTTAAAACTTTATTTTTTATCTAATAAGGCTCAAAATAAAGCTTAAATTTTTTTAAGTACGTGCAAAGTCCGTTGGAACTTAGTGCTAGTCTGCTGCAGCTATTGAACATTGCTTTTATGCTTTATTTTTTTAGTATTAATGGTGGTGTAATACAGACAACAATTATAAATTTTTCATGAAATATGGCTGGATATGATACGAGCGAAGCAATGTGACCATCATTTAAATATATTTTAAACCTTTATCGATTTAAACTATTTTTATCTAGAAAAACTAACGCCTAACCATTTTGGTTTCTAATGTTATAAATTAAGTTTTCAAATTATATAAAATAAAAATATACTACGAGAATATTTTATAACAATGTGTTCTAAAAATATTGCTTACTTTTTAAAATATGTTGTTATCCAACGCTTGTGTTATCGCATGATCGGTAGAGGAACGACGAGTGACAAACAAAATTCTTACCCGACGTTTATGCGAAGTCATGGCCCCTCAATAGAAATGCCCCGATTACTTACTTTTTTATCTGGCGACATTTTTTACTTCCATGTCCAGTTAATGGTGTCCATCCCTTTATATAAATTATTAGACGAATTAACAAAAAACATGAATTTCTCTACCGTGAAATCGACATTAGGGTATATATCTTCAAAGTTTTATGATATAAAAGTTCTAATATATATAAAATATAATACTTCAGTCACATTTATAATTTATGATAAGTATTATTCGATCAATTTTCTTAATTAAATTTTATGTCGACTATTGAACAACAAAATCGTTTCGTACAAATTGGAAAATACTTGTAGGAACTGTCATAAGTGGGTGTTGTTTGAAGTAGATTAGTAAACACAATATTGAGTGAAGTTTCGGGGTAAATACAGAGGCGATCAGATTGGAACGAAGACAATACTTTCGCAGCGAGGTGTAGGGAGCCATTGGTATGCGTAATGGTAGATCGAATTTCGTATTTGTTCGTGAAGTCGTTAACAGCACCTTCACGGTTGTTTATAAAGAAAACAAAACCCTTTAGACAGAGGGGCCGTCGGGGAGGCGCTACCCTTCCTAACTCAGTAAATCCGTCGTAAATATCAAAAATAAATTTAATACTACCATTGTTTTACCATAATTGTATCACTAGATATCATGTATATTATCTAATAAACAAACTTTATTGTAACATTAGTGATAGATAATGAAAGCATTGTGTCCGAAACTATTCAATATAACTCGTTTTCAAAACATTCATTAGCTCTATAGTGAATTAATTAAATGTATAACGTACATATTCGTGACAGAGTACTATGAAAACTTCATAATAGCTTCACGGGGCTTCGACAGCTCAATCACATAAATTTGTTAAAACAAACATTATGTCTATAAAATTTACTATATTACGAGTATGTAAGCTTCATCAATATAGAGTTTCATAAAAATCCGTTCATTATTGATGAGTGAAAAAGATGAAATATGTCCATATTTAAAAAATGGTAGGTTTGGTTTTAAAGAATATAGACTAAAGTCTATAGACTATAGAATATAGACTAAAGTCTAAGTTATCTAAAGATAACAATAACGAATTTTTTAATATTTTTTTGTATTTAAAGTTCATTTAAAATTATTTGGACCATAATTAATGTCATATTCAAAAAATATGTTGTAAGGAAAAATCAATAAAGCGTGAACTAAAGTCACTTGCTCCAAACGTTATATTGACACCAAACAGTACTTATGCGTGTTTCTCATCCTTGAGGTTTTTTTCTAATAAACTAACCTGTCCCATGTCCTTACGCTCTAATTAACGGTGTAACATTTTCAATGTATAATTAATGTTCATCAATATCATATTCAACTAACCAGAAATGGCCGTTAACCCAATTCGAGTGGTTTAGTTTTCTGGGAACACACCTTTGTAAGTCATTAGAGGAAACGTCACATGAGTTAATTAGTTATATAAGGTGTTAATGATCACCACTACGGTCATGTTTGTGAAGGTACCCTAGGGTATTGTGTTTTTAAGCTGCAAAGATTTAAATAATGAAGGTCACACTCCCAGATTTAAGTTGCCGATTTTTACCCTACACTGGAATATTATTATTACATTACAAGAGTTTTAATCTTAATTACATGATAAGGATCTTTGATACGTTCAAATAACTATTTAATAGAAAAATAATAAGCCAGCAAGAATTATTCAAAGAACAATTTTCTAACTAAGAGAAATCATAAAAAAAAGATACAAGGAATAATGTAAAATGAAATAAATAATAAAATCCCGCGTGATATCAGCTTTATGAAACTGATACGCCCATACTTTGAAGCAATAGTGCGCTTTGTATCACGCTAACAAAGCAGAAATGGTAATCATTAAGGTATTGCATCCATTACGAGATTGAACTCTAATTTGCATATGCACAAATGTTATTTTAAGAATTTTGAATTACACGTACACTGTCAAAGTGCGTATTAATTAGAAAACATTATGTACTAGTAATGCTAAATTTTATTTAATAACCAATTCTCTTCTAGGTCTTTCTTTTACATTAAACCAATACATAAAATACACATAGTTAATTATTTAGTTCTTTCTAAAGCAGAAATGTAATTTTTTACTGATAGATAATATAATAGAACCTTTGCATATAATCGTTAGGATCTAAAACCTTATAAATGCAATGAATTATTTGTTTGGAACCTTACCTCCCTTACCGTGATCTAGCGTTACCCAAATCAAAAGGGATATAAAGAAAAAAGCTAATCCGCTATCTTGAGACGGTTCCTATGTAGGCAATATTACAATATTGAATTATATATATGTATGTAAAATATTTTATTAAAATATTAGGGAACATTTTCAATAGTAGGATTTGACTAGTACGTATCAGAAACAAGACAGGTACAAACAAACAATAAAAATTATGTAACATCTTGTACTATATCTTCAAACTTGGCATCATATTTATTATGAAATAGTTTATATTATTTCTTTCTAATTTGAATTTAAGCAGTATAAGAGTCATGACTGGCATTCCAGTTGCCGTAAATTATAATTTTAAGATGCGACTCCTACGCAATAATAACCGAACATGTTGAAATATTAAATTTATGCACATTTTTGACGACGATTGTACAACCTGTGTCATTATCATGGACTGGTTTATTGGATTTTGAGATGAATTGAAAAGTTATGTAGGGATTAACAACTTTATAACATCTTTCTATGTAAAATAGAATTTTGATGCGGCATTTTCAAGATCTGACATTATTTTTACTTGGGAAGGTTGTCTCATTTATTATCGCTTATGCGAGGGCCCGGAAATGCCGTGTCAAGGTTAACGTTTTCATTTAAAAAGCTACGCTCATTTGAATTGCTGCAATTAAAGTTCCTACAATTTACTGAATTATTTTGCTCACATTGAACTGCATCGTAATATGACCCCTTTATGAATACTTGACTACATAACACATATGATTTCATCCTTATTCTGACAGACAATATGTAGTTAGTCATTAATTTAATCGTTCAAATAGATCTACTAAAATTTGGCAAATTTCTTTTCACACGTAATTTTTTCTTATCTTTCATAGTAAATTTAGAAGTTGGGTATCAGGTTTCAAAAAGTTTTTGTGTTTAAATCCTTCGAAATGGAAAGTTTTGTTTACCATATATTTTAGCACAGTTTAGTGGAGCAGCATAGGCTTTGCATATGCGGTGTCAAGATCACGTCGTAGCATCGCGCCGCGGGTGACACGCGCCACAACCGCTCCGTGCTAGTACACCCCCCTACCCCCTTCCAGCCCTATGACTACCCTCAGCCTCGCACCACGCATGCTCCAATTACAATCCCTGTAGAGATGTACACCGTCGATTAAAAACATAAAAAAAATATTATCACTAAAATTATTTCCTATATAAATAATACACAATATTCTTTTTTATAATGCATAAAAATTAAATTAAATTGTACTTTAAATGAGTATATAAATTTAGGTTATAAAAGACGTATGGTTAGATAGTCATTATGTCGATTTGTATGAAAACAAACAGGGTCACATGTAATATCCACCCGATGTGGATAACTCGATATGTTGAGACGCGATGTCGGACGGCATTAGATGATCGCGTAGAATGCGCGCGCACCAGCGTCCCGAGGAGGGCTTCAAATCGCCTGCGGAGGGCGAGCGGTCCGCGCGCGTTGTGCTGTCTATAGCGCGGTCACTTGACTCAACACCTTTGACGGCGAGGTACACTCGGTACTCAGTGCACGACCTGAACCGGTCACTGACCGATACCGTCGCGATCGCAACGACCTCCGCCCTTAGAAGGCGCCGTCCGACTTTACCACGGCGTCCCTTTCGTTTCCCTGTACCTTACTTGCTACAGCAGGTAACACCGATAGCGTGATACTTACCAATTTATCCTTAGGCAATCGTCTTTGATAGTGCGTTCAAGTCTAATTTGTTTTTTATTGTTTGTAAGTGTTTATTATTCCTCTAATATAAACTGTGTTTCGTAATGTTATGCCTCGTGCACGGCGCTGGAGGGCTCTCATGCTAGTGAGTTACGAGCCTCACTGAGATAGCAGCGTACAGTGAGTTTTTATGTACTGATCCAATTTTTCTATGAATGAGTACGTGTCGCAGTAAATCCTTGTAATTAAAACGTATGACTCATCTCCAGTAGACAACGAGCTTTATTTTATAAGCGGTCGTTAGTTTCACTATTTTTCTGCTTTATATTTTTTACATTTTCACAATGTAGCATTCTTAATTTATATGACTAATAGGCAATCACCTATTAATTTACTAATATTGCAAATCGGAAAGATATTTAGGAATCTAAGTAAGGCGGATAATGTTGAAATAAAATTAAAACGAATCGCTTTAACGATCAGATCAAGTAACTCGTGCGGTAATAACGTAGTACATATATGTCTTTACTCTAATTAGGCCAACCGCTTCGAAATATTAATATGTATGAACTTAATTTAATAAAAATATGAAAACTACTCCAAAAAGTATATTTTGATTTTCAACAATTATCTAGATCTTCTCATGTATTATAATGAAGAGTAGAATAAATAAATAAATAAACAAATTAACATTTCTAGGGAAACTTCTATCCGGTTCGCTTTTAAGTAGCTCTCCCTGTACTGAAATTCAGTAAAAAATTTTAAATCACCATTGTAATTTCATTCCATTCAATAAAAAAAAGACAAAATAAAAAAAAAAATTACTCTTTACTCTTATCAGGTAAAGCCCATCCATCAGATAAGATAATCGGTACCCGCACACTTTTTTAAAACACTTTTTCTTTAGACAACACAAGCTCTGCAACACGAGCAGACAAATTGCACCCTGAGGGAGCCATTTAAAAATCCGATCATTATGTAGTCGTCTCTCTTTCGTGATGTATCGTATGTGAACCGATGTAGCGAGTTCCTTTTAAACACTTCTACTAACATTAATATTGAAAATATATCAAAATTTAGATTCAAAAGAATATATTTGACGATAATAAGATCGTTATACTCAAAATCTGGGATTGTCAAAAATTATACGAATTACTCTTCAGATGTTGTATGGCAAACCAATTTGTAATAAAAATTGGAAAGAAAAATATATAGAACAAATTTACATCATTTCATCGCAGCATAATTCAAAATGTATTGGCAAACGGGAACTCGATATTGAATTTTATTTATAAATGCGACGGAAACAAAACTACATATTTCTTATTGCGACTTGACGTGTACGTTTTGTTTGAGTTTTCCGTGCCATGCACTTTGTATGCACGAATGTAACCCATTTCGAATAACTGACGATATATATTGAGGAACTATATTAAATTATTTATTTTACTATAACGTTGCTTTTGATGATTTAGGGCTGAGAATTTAAATTGTTTTTTTTTATTCTTTAACATTTAGTAAAAAAATTCCGAGGAGTGGGAACAGTCGTGATAAGTACCGATTTTATCGTACCTTGATTGTTTTATTCCGACGAACGAAAGTAAGCATTAAAAGATAAATATACAATTACATGGCAGTTTTTATGTATACAACAAAAAAATTAACTTTATTTCTATAAATTTCATACACACGATATATTTTTAAATAATATACTTAGAAATGTAAATATCAATAAGTTTGATAAAATCTTTAGCATTTTAGAAATCGTTTGAAAGAGAAGTGTTCACCCCATTAATTACAGTATTTTTTGCTGTCAAAGGACGATTTGGTGCCAAATGGTAGCATAAGGACTAGATGCACCGTCTGCTACAATTATCCTTCACATACATACCTACATAGAGCCGATGGCAAAAGTAAAATGGAAGGGGAGTCGTCGAATCAAGCCGTGATCATTATCTTTAACCGTATTTCAAAAGATTCTTTTTATTAATTTTCACTCTACAAAAATATATATGAGATTTAAACATAATATATCAGTAGTTGCACACAACATATATCAATAATAATTTTCTATAATATCTTATGCGTGTTGTTCGTGCTTACATTTCGGGCGACAGAAACCTGTTTGGACATTTAACGGCATCTTGAACTAAGACCCGAAGTCAATTAGGTTTGACTTGTACGCAATTATGTACTCAAAATAAATTGCTGGAAAATTTGTCGATATCTAATGGATAAGTCATAACCGTGACACAAGAAGATTGCATCTACGTTCACACGCAATTACTAAGATAAGAGACATGTGTTCTTCTCTTAAAGCTAAAACACAAACAAGAAAATATCATTTATTTATCTGAGCGTAATATGCAAAAAGATTTAATTGTTTTTAATTAAAGCAAATATAAATAGCATGTTTCTTTATAAAGACATGGTTTCAAGTGCACTTTGTCGTAAATTTTTTCAAGGTAAAATTTCTATTTACTTTGTATAAACCACTTTTAATATTTTAATAACTTTATAATATCATAATTTCCTTTGTTTCTTCGTTTATTAACATCGTTACAAATGAAATGCCCGCACACATTGTTTGCAAGGGCCAGACTAATGTCCTCGCCTAATGCGGCGGTGGCTTGACAAGAAGACAATTTCCGGACTAGCCCCTACCTTCGTATACGTGCTAGAAACAATATTCAAACAATATAATCATTTATAACCCACCCACAAGGATAGATTGGATAAAACCATTACAACGTATCCTGCAAAACGTGTTCTTCACAATAACTATTATGAATTTATACTGTAAAAAGAAATATACGTCGTATGTAGAACAAATTAATAAATATATTTGTAAGATTACAAATTAATTTTAATAAAAAAATATTCAAGAGGTAAATTCATGATATAATGAAAGCTCTCGCCTCTGATACGTAATTATATTCATATAAAATGTTCAATAATACATTGGAGAATGAAACAAGTGCATCAAGAGCCATCAACTCAACATCCAATAAATAGTATAACTCTGTCTCTCTCTAAACTATATCTATCCTTCAAACCTAGGAATCAAATAAACTTGCGTACTTATATTTATAAAATATTTTAATTCAGAAATATATTTTAGCCCACAGTTTTCGACGGGATATAAATTTTAATTACTATACTATACACTTATTTATTACACACATATATTTAGTATAAAATCAATATTCCTATTGCAATGTAATCCCTACTCCCCAAAATGACAAAAGAATTTGAATGTGACCTTTTACACCCATGGGATTTCTGTCACAGTAAAAACTTTTAAGTTGACAGATGCAGTGTTAGTGACAAATTAAGGATTATAACTTGTTGAAAGACGGAAACAAAACAAGAAACTTTCATGTATATAGTTTTATTTTGCGTAGACGTTTGTTTTGAAGACGTAGAGTTGAATGTAACATCTCTCCGTTGCCCTCTTCAAAACAACTGCGTCCGTTTCTGTCGGATGCAATATAGCTCAGAGAGCGTTTGATCTCTCCTTATAAAACTCTTCATACGTCAAATTAGAGGTGAATTTATTTCGTTCATCCATCTAGGCCACCGCTAATTTAGTCTTTTTTGAGTATATAAATATCTCAGAAGTCATATTTGACTCTATTTATAAATGAAATTTTATCAGATAACATTGATAGGTATATGTAAACTTGAACATTTGATATCATTACGTGTTAAGAAAAATATATTTAAATTACTTTTAAAATCTCACTGTGTCTGCCCTATCTATAAGATCAATGAAATAAATATCAAAGACAACTTTCCCTTTGATTAATTTAGTATGAAACAGTTACATGAGTGAAAATATTCGCACGAGATCGTGGCTTGCTCCCACGATAATTACTGTAAGTAATGTGTGCTTCAAATCACATACTCCAAAATGAGGCATAAAATGTTAGAGTAGATGCTTTGGAATGAGAAGGGAGAACGTAATTACCCGTCGAGAATGTGGTCGAGTCCTGCCGACGGCCAGCCTCTGACCACGACTAAACTAGGAATAAAGTGCTGTCCTACCCTTAACTCGTTAATTAAGCCTGGTAACTTAATTCGCTTGTCTGAGATTCTGAAATAAGAAATTAAAAACAAGAAAAATGTGGTATATCTTGCCCATTGAGAAGTAATGCTTAATGGTAATCTCTTAATTTCATTAAGGACAATTGTGATGGATGAAACTTTTTTCATTCTTAATCAAGTGTTAATAAAGTTTGAAGTGTTTCATAACACGCAACATTTCCACAAATCGCCCCCTTGATGATCACGTACTTGCACTTATCTTGAGTTTTTTCTTAAAGCAGTGTTGTCTGAACAAAGAGTGTTGAAGTGCTCGCCTCCTCGGGGCATCTATTAAGCAGACAGGAATCGCTTCTCACAGCCCACTCTCGGCTCGTCACGGAATCAATATCGTCTTTTATTTTATAAAACGTGCTCCACATACACACACATGCTATAGGACGCCAGCCCCCACCGCACGCCGCGGAGCCCGTCTAGGGCCGTAACACATAAGAATATATGAACAAATACAAAGAAGATCGCGTTAATTAAAGAAAATTTTCTTCTCTCATCGCAGTATTTATTCACTTCGGATCTTAAATCTAAGAACGTTTTAATTAGTTCCTCGGCATAGCAATATTAGTTTTCAATTCTATTACCTCAATCATTTTCTCAGTTACATTAGTCTTACTCCTTTAAGATAATTTAAATTAACTTGAAATTAACCATATTTTTTCAGCTGTGATTTTAGAATAATGTTTTCCCTCATTGTTAATTTATTATATGTTATCGGTATTTGTAATTATTAGGTATATTTATTTCGCATCCCTGTCGAGTTAATACCTCTTAAATACTCCTAATATAGCAAAGACCCCGCAGATGTCAAGTGTGCTATTCATTGACATTTTTACGAGAAGAAACTTCAAACCTTTACGCCAATTAAAATAGCTGAGTAATTTTTTTTGTGAAACAGCGACGGATGTAAAAATAAATTTAGGTCAGAAGGAAGATTAATTAGGTTCAAACCAAGAAATGCTTTGTTAATGTTAATGTAAATAGACTGAGTAAAACGTGTTTATTAAACTACAACTGTTCTCTTAAACAGGCTGCGGAGATCTTAAAATGTAAACAATGCAATGTTAATTGCTGCAGTGTTATTGTACAGCATTGTTTTAAGAGAACCGAGCTTGAATTGTTTACAGGCAATAATAAAACGTTTGATACTACATAAATAGGTACTTGATGTGAAGCACTTCACTGATGATGCAATACAGATGTACAGTACAATATTTAGGTTATTTAATATACTCATTTTAACTTCAGTACTTTAGCGGACAAAGTGAAATGTTCCTTACCATCTACATTCTTGATTTACGCTACGTTTAGATATTTAAATAATAAATTGTTGTTTTCTTATTATTACTTCCATATAACATATTTAAATCACTATTACCTTTATTTTTTATTTTTTCAACAAAAATTTGAAACATCTACTACAGCAAAACTTTCAATTCATTTAGATCGTATAACAAACTGTCAGGATAAATTTATTTCAAAATTGTATAACTTGTCAGTTCTACTATTTCTAAAACAAATACGTATTTTTATATTTTTATTGCTCCAATACGATTTTAATTAAAATAGCAATAACAGTGATATAGCTGTTGCTTTGTTAATTACTGTTTCATATTATTTTTCACTATATTTTTGGGTCTAAAATAAATAAAAATATTGTGAACAAAAACCCAGTTTCTATTATTTTAACATGTCAACGAGTAATTTTATGACATCGATAAATATGAACTGTATTATATCCTTGCTTAGAAAAATATTTCACTGAAATACTCAACAGAACCGTGAGATCATTTCACCCGTTGCGTTTTAAGCTCAAATTGAACCAGAGCACTGTTAAAAGCGGTAGAAATGTTTAAGGGTACATTACTCATTCTTAAGTGCAAGACGTGCTGTAGTGTACATAAAGTATAGCAGTGGCAAGTTCAAGAGCACGTATATCGGGTCAGCACCGACTGTTCGATGGGAAATCTCCCGGCTTCTTACAAGCCTTATAAGTACAAACCGTGGACTAACATCACAACAATGAAATAACATGCTGCATATATGTACATTCGTCTTTACAGATTGATTTATGTTACTTGAATTTTATTAAATGTCAGTAGTAATGTTATGAATGTAATAAATCGGATAAAGAACAGAAAATAAAAATGACAAAATTATTTTATGTCATGGATACAAATATTAAAATGATCAACAGTCAATCACATGAATAAAAGATTAAAATTCTAAGCGGTTGGAACTACGGGCGTTCGTCTAATTACGTTTTCATTAATTTTAAAAATAAAGTTGATATGAACGTTATACGTCTTCCTTTAAAGGAATACTCATAAAGAATAATGAAAAAATATTGTAACCTCTAAGATTTTACTTTTGAATTTATTGAAATTTAATTTCCCTTAAAGACTCTTCTAAATCGAGTGGTGGCCAAACTTTACGATTTACCTCATAGCTCCACGACAAGTAGCGCTTCAAAGACTGAACAAAGTTTAGTCGCAAGGGCTTTAAATTCCCTAATGTTTGTCAAAACATACTTAAACCTGTCACGAAGCGCTTAAATCAATTTATTATACAGGTACTCCACGACTTCAGAAACATGTATGTTTACTTACATGTGTAGTATATATGTATGTATGCAAATCTTGTATTCGCTGCTTCTTTAAAAACGGCGCACGGAAAACTCGAAGGCTCTTTTATATTCTCATTCCTTATCCTTGTGGGATAATTCGGGCCCATAGGACAGGTTTTACATAATTTCATCCCAACCCTTTGCGTACACGCGTAAATGTTTGCGCAAATTTTTATTGGTGGCAACGGACGGTTAAATTAACAAACATTCAATAAATCATTATTAATAATTCATCGTGCCTAAATGAAAAACTGATAAAGGGTAACGAGTTTCGGGGACAATTATTTCAATGCGTGAGGGTAACTATCGTACTTGACATGAACAACGTGAGGGGGTAATTGTTTAGCATGCAAAGCGTTGAGATCAACAGCCGCCATGCTAGCTTGGAGGGAGTCTGAAAGCGACGTACACAATCTACATAAAACCCACTACCCTACTTAGAGTTGCATCAAATATGGATCTACCATTTGCTTATAGCTTACAAGTGACGCTGTCTCTTTTAAATCTATGTATATATTAATACTTTAATCAACTTATTTGAAACGCTTTAAAGTTTTATGGGAAAGGAATATAATTTATTCATTGCACACAAAAGATAAACTTAAATATCTCACACGCTTAACAACATTAATTTAAATATTATAACTAAATATTTTTTGAGATACACAATGCTATCGTAGTTGCTAAAAGCATTTATATAATCTCGTCGAACTTTGACATAAGCTGATTCATCTCTAAAGCATCTATATCTGCAAGTATCTTTGATAGTAATTTAACAGGTAAAATGATACAGTACTGTTAAAGTTATTTCAGCTTTTATTGCATATAAAATTGTCAGACATACTAAAATCTTTTTATTAGAACTCTAAACTCTACTATTCACTGTCGCATTGTATCATTTATGTTTATAACAAGTTAAGTAGCTGCACTTTATTTTAAAACATTTCGCCATGACAAAGCATCTACTAAAACAATGGAATAATTTGTATGTTTTAAATCTAATAATTATGAATAGTTGCGTTTTCAAACAGATAGCAGTTGATATTTTAATAAATATATTATTCATTTCTTCACACTGGAACTATAAAAAAGTCTATCAATATATTTGCTGATATAAAACTGTTCGCAGAACGATACCGTTGTTCACATTTACAACACGAATTTCGTAAAATAAATTCTAATATCTCATGTTAAACACGGCAACAGCGAATCGAGCTTTTTATCTGGTTGCGTCAAGTCTATTGCTTACAATATGTCTTTCAATTTTTTGTTCGATCGCCTAATAACTCGACGAGCTTTTATGGCACCTCGGCGCGAGCGCAAAAACTACAAAAGATTAGACGAGGGTCGCGCGGCAACGCGGTATAGCTTAGCAGTAGTCAGACGCGTTCAACCGTCGGGATAGGACGTACGGCATGACGCGTTAATATTACAACATAATTATTTATATTTTATACGGTAAATATTACAGAATAAGTTCCTCGGAGAAATTTATGATGGTAAACGTTTAGGGCACATCATTTAAAGTGAAAATGTATACATACGGAACAGTGCAGCGATGTAAGTGTTAAAGATTATTTGTGATGTTGGGCTAAGACCGGATAAATAGTGAAGTGAACTTAGGCAACATGACGATGAAATCGCTGAAGTACAGCGAAAGGGAGGATATGATGGAAGGCTTTAGCCCGGTCCCTCCGCCGCTGCCGCGTCGTCAACCCGTCAGGAATATTTACGCAGAGCCCTTCGTTGATCCTAGGTAAGTTTTAATTAATTATTACTCACTTTTTAACATATTTTAGACAATCACTTATTCACTTGGTACAAGAATTTTGGCAGCACGTAAGTATTTGTAAAGTTTTCGCTATATTTCATCGCGATTAGTAGAGCTTATCGTATGGATTTTATATTTTATATTCAAGCTACATTTTATGTTTTGGCAGTTCTTCTTTGCAGTTTGTACTATTTCAATTACATATAACGCGCATCTTTTATTAATTAAGGGTATTCAACTAGCAACATATTGAAGTCAATAAACGAAAGATACGATATAAAATGCCGACTGACATAAATTACCAAACTTTAATAAAGCCGGCTTTATACAAATCCTCAGTCGGAACATGAAACGTGAGTGATCGCACAAAAGATTAACATTCCCACCGAACTCAAACTTGTTACACGAAATGTTGAAGCAAACATTGGGCGAAATTAAATTCGTTGAATGAATCATATTAGTGCCGTGAAAATAGCATTTGCGCCTTTTGAACGCAACCGGTTTTAATTTTTTTTTATATTTATCAAAAACGAATAGATCAGATCAAATAAAAAGAAAATGTTCATTCAATAGACTAGTGAAATAAATTAGTAGCACTTGTTTACCTTCGAACCCCAACTTTCTGCCCTTCCCCTTTAAGTTGTACCCAATCGTGACTCTTGAAAGTAATAATAAACTGCCTGAAGCCAGAAAACATCCATTTCATATTGAAACTCTATAAACATAACGTGGAAACCCCACAATACTCTAAAGACCACAGTATTATAAAAGTAAGGCTTTACACAAAACTAATTCCGGGGCACTTATTTGGCATGTCCTTTGGGAGTTTGGAGAACACAATAGGACCAACCCAAATATTTCGTTTCAAAAGCAATTTAAGTTATATAATATTAAACCGATGTAACAAAAATCAACAATAATGAAACTAAATAATTTAAATTACCATTTTTTATAATCTTCTCCTTTTCGTTTTCCTCAGACTAGATATCAGGTAATTCTATGTACGGTAGTGCAACTCCATATATCATATTTTTGTACTTGGCGCACGTTCTGGCGACATCGGGAAGTGCCGAGAGCAGTTACGTCCATCTGCTACACCCCTGTCGTCTCTCAATTTCATCATTTTTTGTTCGGGGAAACCAAAATAATATTTATACCATTTATCTACACATATTAAAAGTCTATCGGATATTACACACACATATGTAGTAGACATAGTTATTTATACTAAAAGAATAACAGAAATTTTGATATGGTCATTTAAATAAAACGTTGATCTTAAAATATGTAGAATATGATATATAATTTTACTTTCAACTCCTCTAACGTTCTTAATTCAAATGCCTAAAAGTTAAAGAAAATACTTTAATGTTGCTTTTACTTTCGAATGCAACATAGAATAAATTATAAGAGTTGCTTTCTGTAAACTTTATGCAAATTAAGGTTATTTATATTCCCTTCCTATTATAGAGAACGGTTCTTAGTAAACTTGAATAAATAACGATAACAATCGTTAAATAAAAATAGGTTTAAAGTTAATTTATATCGGCCCTAATGACAGCAATTCGACATGCTAGAGCGGTGATCAATAAAGGAAATGACGTTTGAGCAGTCCCTGTGTGAAGAATGTAATTTCCTTTACGATGTGTTAACAAGGTCTGAATACAAGCTCAAAGCATGTGACGGTTAAGTGCACGCAACAATAGCTAACAGATAACATCGAGGGCGCTCGCTACCAGTGCGACCTATCTTTATAGAACAGAAATTTCACCTTCAAATAAACAAATATATCAACTAACAACAAAGCTACACAGAAAATGGTATAATAGTACAAGAATATGTAAATTTAAATAATAACTCATAACCTTTACCATTTGAAATAAACCGGACCTCTCTATCAATATTGAACAGCGGTTTAATATCAAATATTTGTTCATTGAAACGGAAATTCGTCCGAGCAAGAAATCATTTCCATATATCTCAAGTCCAGACAAGGTAAACGCCGTTTACACATCAAAGTCCTCAAACCCACGAACTTAGTTAATAATGTAAAGCTTGTATGTATGGAATCAGAGTTATGTACATTTATTTGAGTAGTTAGAATTTATCAATATATTATCACTTTCATCTCGTCTGCCCGTGATCACAGTTATTGTAAAGGAACCGAAACGTCTGCATTATGTAGTTATGAAATAAATAAAAAACGAATAATATCAAAAAAACTGATTTCACTTATCAATATATGCATAAATATACATAAATATAAACTTATGATGATAAATAAATAAATATGATAATTAGTTAAAATCAAATAAAGATGAAATCAGATCATATTAAGATAAAAATAATATAAAATGGTAAATTACACGGTAAAGTGCAAGATAAATGTGATGAATTGTATCGAACTCTACTCCATAGAACTTTAGAGATGGTCGATTCAAAAGAAACACTCGGTCCAAGTACAGTGATGGATTGTTTTCAAAGTCTCGGCCAGTGTCTTATTAATAGTTCGAATAATTAGAGGAAACGCCTCATCAAACTGAACCGTGTGGTCGGAGTGCGGCTTATGAAAGGGGCACTGGATGCTGTGATCTGTAGCCAACCAATACAACTCGTCCAGGAAATTCAATTATCTTCTTTCAACGTTAATATATAATATCGACACAATCATTTCATTAAACTGAATCTTCGTCGTTCAAACGATTATAATTGGACCTATAAAATAAACCAATAAAAGCAATATCATTCTTAACAGAAAACTAAGATATTCGTTACTTCCAGTAGATAACGTTCAAAACACATTTAGTTGATATACAATCATAATTATTTCATATTTATAAGACGTTCGACTAATTCGTAAATGACTTTTATCGCAAAAAAAAAAGTTTAATTCAGAAAATACGATATGCATTAGCTAAGTCCCCTTCAAACAAATAAATGGAGATGTATTTAATAGTGGAGGATTACTTAAAACAATTCCAAAGTCACGAAGCCAGATATAAATCTTTCAAGTCGACATCGACTGACGTTCTGTGTGCCCATATGATAGATGCACATGAAGTTTGCCGTCACCAATAATCCTTAATAAGTATTAAGTTTTCTGGATTATCTGGCTTTCATAACAAACCATTTTTTGTTCAAACAATTTACTTGAGGTGAGGTAAGGGTCTGAATACAATGACACAGCTCTAATAGTTTCCGTTTTGAATAAGAGATGCCTATTGTCTTTATGATATCGATTGAATAGTCCTCCCGCAATTTGAACACAGCCATAATATTTCAATGAAAGGGGCTTTTAAGAAATAATAGCGTTATTTTATTTAATGAACGTTTTTAACAGGTCCATATTTGTTCCCAATTTGTGAATCCATAGCACGCATTGTTCTGAAATAATGAACTTCTATATATAGAGACAAATATTTTGTCGCGACACATACTAAATCAGTGGCATGAGCTGTATCACTGTCATCAGCGCAGCTGTAAAGATATATTCTAGTTATGGATCACTGGTCGCTTATCTGCTGGTGTATTTTACCCCAAACAGTTTTAAAATAAACAAACTGTCGTACTGTCCGAATAAATACGAACTGGCTTTGACACTGCCTCCTATAAATAACTGTAATGAATAGGCAGCTGGCATGA